ACGGATGGCCGTCTGCTGGACAGGTAGGCCGACCACCAGGGTTCAACTAGGGGCCGAAGGTTGGAAGTCAGAAGGTTGGAAGAAGGGTTGAGGTTGGAGAAGGTTGTGTGGAGTCCACTGTTCCGCTGGCTTCAGGGCCGACAGACAAGGCGAGAGAGCGAGAGAGTGAATCCGAGATCTGGCTGTGCGGTGGGTGAAGCCAGGAGCATTCAAGCTGCTGAGGAGTCAAGGTCCAGGCACCTGTGAGAAAGCCTGCTAGGGGCCCGAGGAGGTGGAATCCTGGAGGAAATGAGCAGAGTGAAGAGGAGGGTGTTGTGGCCACAGACAGCAAAACGGATGAAGTGCCTGGTACCTCCCAACCCCTAAGACAAAGGGACATTTTAAATAGTAATTAACCACAAAAACTCCTAGGAGAAAACTCAAATTCTTTCTCTGTCCCTTGAGGTCTCTGATCTCTCCGATACCAGAGAACATGTCGGACATGGATATCCTCCTACAGGGTCGAACCCTGCAAACCCTTATCGGTGAAATCTGCCTCTGGGTTAGAGCAACCAAACCAGTGCCAAAGGAAATGCCAACTGGGAACCAGGAAGCAGGCCGCCCCCATGAAGAGTGGTAACCGTCAAACAGTGTGAACGGCCCAGGGGCATAAGGAGACAGGAGAGACTGTCTAAAATTGGCACCGAGTGGGCATTGTACGCCCTGCCCACAGTGCTTTCAACAGCCAAGTACAGCTGGTAAAAAAGCCAGACGGCTCATGGCAGCTGATGGTGGGCCATCCAGAACTGAACAAAGTGGTGCCCCTCCCATGGGGCTGTGCCCGACATGGCCACCATCTTGGATACTTGGCCATGGTCTTAGGAGTGCACCGTGCTGGGCTGAACTTGGCAAATGCCTTTTTCAGGGTATCCTGAGTTACTGGGCAGCGTCTACTGGTTATTGAGCCAGAAGATTAATCTGTCTGCATGTGGGAAGGGCAACGACGGACCTCTCAAGTGCTTCTCCAAGATCACCTGCACAGCCCCACCATATGTCATGGGAAGAGAGCCTAGGTCCTCATTCTTCCCCACATCAGTGAAATGGGACCACTACTCGGATGATCTGCCAACATGTGAAGGTCTGCCTTTGCTATAAGATACCCTGCAGGCTTTCCGGGAATTTCTGGGGCGGGGGAAAGGATGGGTGCGCACCCACGGAAAATTCAACGTCCGGGCACCGCTGAGAAGTTTTTGGAAGTCCTCTATTTGGTTAAGACTCATGGGGTCCCAGAAGCTGTGATTGATAAAGTGCGAATTTATCCAACCCCAAGCACATGAAAGAGGTGCAAGCCTTGTAGGGATTTTGGGGTTTGGAGGACTTTCATTCCCCACCTGGCATAGCGCCTCTGCCCCTTCTATCTCCTGATAAAGAAAGGGCTTGTATGGGAGTGGGGATCAGAGCAGTCTGCCACCTTCCAGAAGGCAAAAAATGCTAGCCAAGCAGGTGAAAGCTTGGGATCTCCCAGGCAGAGCTGCAACTGGAGTTAGATGTGTCCGTGACTCTGGAAGGTATGGGTCAGGCGCTATGGCAGAGACACCAGAAAGGGAGAGGGCCCCTAGGATTTTGGTCCTAGCTCTGGATGGGGTAGAAAGCAATTATCCCCCTATAGAGCCGCAGCTCCTAGCAGTTACTCAGTGCTCCTCCAGTGGACCCTTTCAGGCAAAAGGGAGCCTCTAACTTCCTGGGTCCAGCTTGTGAGTCAGGTGGTTCTAAATATGCCACTGCCCCGATGTTCACCGGGGATCCACGCACTGTGCCGCGGAGAACACCACACCCGGGAGAGGTACTAGCTCCCAGGAGGCTGCAAGCCAGCAACACTGCACCTACTCAGTAAACCATTCTCTTTGTTGACATTCATCTCCAAATGTTCCCCTTTCTGATCTGCAGTGGTTAATTCTGTGTCTGTTGCATGGAGGACCCAGAATCCGTTTCCCTCCTGTTTACAGGTCAGGTATCCGAAGGCAGCTCTCACGTCTCCTGGGATTCTTCTTGTCCACCAGGAAGAAGAGGCTATAAAGCCACCGAAAGCGTTTATCTGGGATTCTAGGCATGGCGATCCGGGAGAATGGGAGTAGAACAAAATCAAAAGTATGCTCTGAACTGCAAGACAGAAGCATGGGCTTGCAAAAGCAAAACCCACAGGTTACATAATTTGTTTTGAAATAATTGTGATTGGTGCTGGCAGAGTTTAACTGCAGGTCGAACCCACCGTTGGCTATTCAGCTAACAGATGTTGCATTATCTCTATTTCAGTCCAAAATAGAACACTGTGTTCCAGAAGGCGGCCAGGGTGCAATTGATAAGTTGCAATTGACAAAAATCAGAAGTCCATGGTGTTACAAACATCGAAACAGGAGAGTGCCTAGGCGCGGCTTCCTCTCTATCCATCCCACTGCGGTGACACCACCTCTAACCACCCCGTCCATCCTCCACCACTGCAGGTCCGCCCCCTACATGCCAACCTCCCTTCTGGCCCCCCCCGCCCCGCCCCCGATGTCCCCCCCCCCCCCGCCCACCCCCCCCGTCTACCCCCCCCCCCCCCCTCCCCGTGACACCCACCCCCTCAGAGCCCGATTCAGATAGTACCTCCTCCGGGAGAGCCCAGATCCCTCAAGAGGAGTGAGGGGCACCCCCAGCTGCTCCCTCCTTGTGGACACTTCAAGACCAAGAATCAACCAACAACTGTGTGTTCGTCTCTCCCCACAGGGTGTGAACATCTGTCTTCTTCTTCACCCCACTGTCTAGAAGAGCATCTGGCACATAGGACAATCCATCCATGTTTACAGAATGAAGGAACAGCCAGCCCTGATGACTAGATGTGGCCTGGGAAATGCAGAGAAGGCGTCTGTCCCCTTGATCTGGGAAGTCAGGTCCACTGGCAAGGTAGCCAGCACAGAGCACTCAGGTGAAACAACGGCTGAAAGTTCACTGAACGTACAGATGCACCTCTTATTGCAAACACATGGAGAGAGGCAGAGGGTCTTTCTAAAATGTTTATTGCTTGCTATTTTGCATTTGTTGTAACAATAAGGGAGGAAAAATATACAACCACGCAGGTAACCGTGGGGCTGATCATTTTTCCTAATCTGCAAACCTTAACTGTCATCACACTGGGTGGATTGTAGGTTTCTTAAACTGTTCCAGAAAGGTTTCATGAAGGGCACCTGAGTGGCTCAGTCTGTTAAGCCTCTGCCTTTGGCTCAGGTTATGATCCCAGGGTCCTGGGATCGAGTCCTGTGTCGGGCTCCCTGTTCAGTGGGGAATCTGCTTCTCCCTCTGCCCCTGGCCCTGCTTGTGCTCTCTCTCTCTCTCTCAAATAAATAAATAAAATCTTTAAAAAATGAAGAAAAGTTTCATGAAGGGCTTTGAAAATACCACATTTGATGTCAAGAAATCTACGTAGGCAAGAGGGATGCCTAAGAACAAGGAGGGAGTTGGAGGGAGTTTGAGTCAAAGTCAAGGATGCAGACGTGTTCACGAGGAAGGATGTGTTGAAACCTCCAGCGTCAGGGCAGAGTAAACTACGGTCCCGGCACACGCACGTGCACACACACGCACACACACACACCCTCCCTCCCACTCACACACACTCACAGCC